TTAACTTGAATAGCAGTGCATGGGAGAGTTCACAAATATATTTTTTGCATTCCAATTTGCTCAAATAGCAAAAGAAAAACTCCACGATAGTGTTTTCATGACTTTCAATAAAAGGAAAAAAATTGAGAGCGACTGATAACGGCTGTCAGAAGAGAGAACGATGTCAAATTTACCGTCCGTCCCATAGACGCTGCATTAGAAACACCCTCGCATTAGCGTTAACTGTTTTTTGTAATTTGATGCAAAGGTGATATAATACAAAGAATAGTGTTATAAATGTACATACATTTAAAAAAAAAATACAAATATGAAAAAATTTTGAGGATTTACGATGCTGATGACCGTTGAACGCGTCATCAGTCTTGTGAAAAGGGTCCATTTATAACTGGAAAGTTTGATGCATACTATTGAATCGGTTGATCCTTGGTCCTTTTTTTAATATGTAGCAATGCAAGTCAGATTCTTTATATTGAATCGATTCATCCAGGAATGTCTGATTCATATTAGTGAATTGGTTCGTCCTAAACAGTAATCTCTCACATATAGCTTATGTATTGAATCAGTTCATCGAATGGTCCTCAGTCACACAAATGTAGCACTAGAAAGTCCTGATTCATTGTATTGATTTGGTTCATCCTAAATGGTTCTCTCTCACTTACATAGCACATTGAATTCATTTTGTTCAGTGCGTGAGCTCGCTGACTGAATTCTGCACTCTCGCAAATTCTCTCAAGTGCTGATGTAAGTAAGAGATAGATTTCTTCAGTGATTATAACAGGGCTCGTGCCTCTGCCCCTTTAAGTGCCCTTTCGGTCCGATCTAGGTGCCCTCGTAAACGCCACTTCTCCCCTGCCCCTCCAGAGGTCTTTGTTTGTTTTAATGAGATGATTCACGAGCGTGAGAACACACACACACACACACAAAAGTTTTGAGCGGTGAGTGAATTTTGACTATTTTAACGCAATAGTCAAGAAATCAACTGTTTGTGATTGGTTGCAGTGCTCAACTCTACAAAAACGCGTAAATAGAAACTTTTGACGTTCCCCAGAGCGCAACACAAATATGCACTGGAGATGTTACAATATCTGTGTCGCCAATATCCCGTTATTACAGTTTCAAATGAGGGTGCTTTTCAATTGCGCGAGTCTCACGCTGAATGTGTGAGAGTTGGCAGCCCTGTAAAACATTCGTTGGCTTCGTTGCGTGTAAATGTAGTCTCTTAATCAGCAGATCTCAGTTGTAACCTTATTAAATTTAGCTCGGTTCCACTCTGCTGTTCTCTCATAACTCATCACCTCAGTATCTTCAGGCTCAAGCAGGGCTTTCTGACTCCAGCTTGTCATTGCATGGGTGTGTGGAGATAAGGGGTCTTTATTGGTAGACCCTGCTAATCTGACTTGGCAGGGGGGATTGAGGCCAGGCTGTCCGGATTGTGACGCTTCCATTCAGCATGACTTTTTGTGGATGGCCCCAGCTGCTCTGGATACGTCTTTAATGAGTGATGAAAGAGGCAGACGTAGAGTCAGGCAGGTTGCAGGGCCTCCCTCCTCTAATCCACCCGATCCTTCACTGTGTCTGTCTCTCAGCCCTTGTTTAGGTGCATGCCCTCCAGCAAATCCAGTGTTATGATTCATTTTTACATGAGAATACCATTGCCCTTTGGGATTTCCAGCTTGCATTGGGTGTAAAGATGTTAAAGTGGTTCACCTCATAAGGTGAAAACTGCAAAAATATTATTCTAATCAGCATCTCTATCTTGATTTCTAATATTCTTAAATATGAAAGACAGATTTACCTGAGATGATATTAATAGATGTGTACTTCAATATGTGTCATCCACTGTTAAATTCATTTTCACTTTGTAAATTTAATAGAAATAAAAGAGAAACAAATAAATAGAATAAAAATGTAATACATATTCTGAGAAAACGTCTCAGGTTACGTATGTAACCATGGTTCCCTGAGAAGGGAACGAGACACTGCGTCCTCTAGGGGTCGCTATGGGGAACACCTTCGACGTGACCGGCGGTGTTTGAAGCATAAATCTAAACACGACAATGATATTGGCCGGCGACAGCCTATGACGTCACTATCGGCGCGACCACAGTATAAAAGGGCGTAGGGGTAGAGCACGTCATCCGCTTCTTCGTCTGAAGCTTATGTCCGAAGCATGGCGAAGAAACTAGAGGACGCAGGGAACCATGGTTACAAACGTAACCTGAGACGTTCCCTTCCGAGGGAACTTCAAACTGCGTCCTCTAGGGGTCGCTATGGGGAACGGTATACCCACGCTGCCATGCTGAGGGGAGTGCATGCCAATACCAAGGCGAGCACTAAGTACCAACTCAACAAGTCAAAGGAGCTGCCCCTAGGACGTTTGACGGCTGTCAGTGACATAACCCCCTACGGCCAAAGGCTTGAGCTGTGCACCAAACTTACCTGTAAGGGCTGGCTTGTATAAAGTCCGAGCCCAGGGCAAAGCTCAAGCCTGGAATCAAAAAATAACCAAGGATTCCTTTAAGGGGATAAGGCCGAGTATCAGGGCTGCTTACAACCCATATCCTGGCCTGTCAAACAGAGACTACCTCCTGCTCTAAGAACGAGCTACCGAGGATCTCAAGATACCCAGGGAAACTTAGTAGTAACACCCTGTCTAGAAAGTGAATATGCGGAGAGTGGGGCCCAAGGTAACCGGGGCCAGAGCCAACTCAGAGAAAGGGGACAAGGCAACAACGCATCACCCTTACAATAAAGGCTTTTAAGAAGGTGCACAAAGGCTGGTGTGCGCACCTGCCATGAATATAGACTTAGAAAGTGCACATAGAACTAGCGTGAGCACTTACCATAGATATGAATTGGAAATACCGTAATGAACCAACAGGGAGACATAGGTTGAGTGGAGCCCAAGGTGAAACCCGGGGCCTAACCAACTCATAGAAAGGGAACGAGGCTACAGTGCGTAACCCTTACCATACAGGATTTTAGAAAGTGCGCAAAATTCCTAGCGTGCACACTTACCACAATGTGGATTTTAGAAAGTGCACAGAAGCTGAGCGTGTGCACTTACCATAGCATGGATTTAGAAACACCGTTACTAAAGGGTAACCAAGAACCTGTCCCCTAGACAGGCCTAGACCCTACGTAACTGTGGCCCGCTCAAGGAGTGACAATAATTCAGCGGGAGGCCGCATGCTCAGAGCGCATGTAGATTGAAAAAGGTGTATCTCATAGAAAAACCCTCCATGTGAGGGGAGAATCACCAACTCAGACAAAAACGTCACACCTCAAACTGGGAGCAGCGTGCTCATAGGTGACCCTCCAAGTGAGGGGAGCACTGCTAAGCTCGACCAACAAAAAGAGCAGCCTAACATGGAGGCCGAAGGAGGCCTAACAACCCGAGGCTGCTGCTAAATGGAGCTCCAAGGAGCGGAGGACCCGATGAGAGGAGACCTCAGACGCTCAATTGGAAGTGGCGTGCTCAAAGGTAACCCTCTAAGGTGAGGGGAGCACTGCTAAACTCACCAACAAAGAGAGCAGCCTAACAGGGAGGCCGAGGGAGGCCTAACAACCTGAGGCTGCTGCTCAATGGAGCTCAAGGAGCGGAGGACCCGATGAGAGGAGACCTCAGACGCTCATTTGGGAGTGGCGTGCTCAAATGTAACCCACTAAGGTGAGGGGAGCACTGCTAAACTCCCCACTAAAAGAGAGCAGCCTAACAGGGAGGCCGAAAGGGGTCTAACAACTTGAGGCTGCTGCTCAATGCTTCAAAAAAGGTACAACCATACCAGTATCATCAGAGATACATAGGAGAGTGAGCCCCAAGAAGGATCCGGGGCCTGAGACAACTCAGAGAAAGGGGACGAGGCAGCATCGCATCACCCTCACCAAAAAGTTTTAGAAAGGTGCGCAAAGGCCCAGCGTGCGCATCTACCATGATTATGGAATTAAAGGAAGTGCACAGAGAACTAGCGTGTGCACCTGACATGACAAGACTAGGGTCTAAGCAGAGAAACAACCAACTCCAGGAGCGGAAGAGACCATAGAAGCTCAACTGGGAGCAATATTCTCAAAACGAACCTCGAAGAAGGGAGCACTGCTAGGCTCAACCATAACAGCAGCCAGGACAGGGAGGCGAAAAACAGTCTACTCTTCTTTTCCACAAGAGTAGAATAACAGGCATGCAGAAAGCCTAACGACCTGCAACCCCTGAAAGACATAGGCCTCAACCACAGCTTCTCCACTCCAGAAAGTGAAGAACTCACTCAACAGAAAAGAGGAGAACTCAGAACTACATAGGGAGCGGTATTCGAGGGGAGCATACAGGCTCAACCAAAGAAGGTAGCCCAGCAGGGAGGCCAAGAGGCCTGACAACCTGAAGGCTCCGCCTAGAGCATCTAGAGGGGCAGAAAACCCAGCTCTCCAAGGTTCTCTACTCTCTCTGCGCCGTCCTCTAGACCTGCTAGTCAAGCCTTGCCGTGGCGCGTTCCATAACCTCAAGCAGCTCCTCGTACGCAGGGCAGGAGGTTTGAGAGGACTCAGTCTCAACTTCCTCGTCCTCATCTAACATCTCCTGCTCTTCCTGGCCGGGAGCCAGCAGAGCACTAGCTGCTGGATCAGATGACGTCAGAGAAATAACGTCATCCTCCAACAGCTCACTCTCGTCCGTAACAGACGAATGAGTAAGGGAAAGCCCCTTCTTCAATTCATTGTCCAGGTCCACCTGAGAACCCCATGAACTCAGTTTCCTCCGTGCCTCAGCAGCCGCAGGTCCTGAGCCCAATGGAACCGATGGCTGCCCCTCCTTCCTCGAAAAGAAGGCCAAAATGAGAGCGGAGCTTTCTCATGGAGAAAAACTCGCAATGAACTCATGCCACCACCTTGAGGACGTCACGCGTGTGCTCCTCACCCAAACACAAAGATCGCAAGTGTCATCGGGTGTCAGATAACGCTGACACGGATCCACACACTTCCTAAACGCCTTGCTAGTGCTAGTGCTCGCCATGATAACAACGAACAGAATCGCTGTTCTCACCAGTATGCAACTCCAAACAAACCGTCGTGAAGACGAAGAAGAGGATGATGTATTCTACCGGCGCCCTTTTATACTGTGGTCGTGCCGGTAGTGATGTCATAGGCTGTCACCGGCCAATATCATTGTCATGTTTAGATGTATGCTTCAGACACCGGTCACGCCGAAGGCGTTCCCCATAGCGAGCCCTAGAGGACACAGTTCGAAGTTCCCTCGGAAGGGAACCCCTGTTTTATTGCAGTGTGCATTGTTTATCAGGCTTGTGATTTTTGAGCCTAAAGATGCAACTATGTTCTGTCCCATGCAGCCCAGAAGAACCAGTTTATGACGCCCAATGGTTTCACTATGTACATGCTGTCTAAGGAGAATGATGTGTATAACCCAGAGCATGGCAGAGTCTACCAGGACATGAGCCGCCCACTCAGTCACTACTTTATCTCCTCCTCACACAACACCTACCTCACTAAAGACCAGCTCATTGGCGAGAGCAGCATTGACGCTTATATCAGGTACAATGCTCACATATATATTAAAAAAGACAGCGCTGGTCCTTTTAGCAGATAATGCATACACATTTGCATGCATACTAGACAAGATGACCTATTTATTGAAATGTTTTGCACAAAGGCAGAAAAAAAACCCGCTTTCTCTAAAGCCTTCTACACACTGCATGATTTTAGCAATCCTATAAGATCATTGCAAATCACACTGGATCTGATAAACTTGGGAACGACATGTGTGCAGACTGAACAATGATGACACCTATTGACTCGTAGGCTACGACTCATATTACTATAGAAGAATAAAACATCATTAGCATGCGCTAGGGGTAAACAAAAAGAGCATGATGAATCACACTTTGGCAGTTATAGTTTTTATGTGTGCTGGTTGAAGTGGCGAAAAAGGAATGTCCTCTTATGTCCTCTCTCACTGTACGATATAAAATCACCGATTAGCAGCCACGATCACAGCAATCGCCACGATTGTTTCACGATGCCAATCTTTCATCTGGGACAGTCGAAAATCGTGCAGTGTGTCTCGGGCTTAATATTGAGCAAATAATGTAAAAGTGTTCATGTTTGTTTGTGGTGCAGAGCTCTGAGTCAAGGCTGTCGCTGTGTGGAACTGGACTGCTGGGATGGGGAAAAGAAGCCAGTTATTTACCATGGACACACCCTCACATCCAAAGTGCCATTTAGCGAGGTTTTGAAGGTCATCGCTGAATATGCATTCAGGGTGAGCACAGGAAGTGGCTCTTTACCTTCAGCTCGCTGGGTGATGCTTTTATATTTGTATTCCAGTAAATAATATCTAAATTTCCTTAGATACTTGAGAAGCAAAATTGCAGGTTCAGATATTTTTACAGAAAAACAAGTATGTATTTGTATGCTTTTTTGTTTTTTCATCAGACCTTTTTGATTAGACAAATTAGTAGTTTATTAGATAACCTTGGGTACCTATTTGAAAATCTAATGTGTGCGTAACCATTTAAATCAAATGGTTTAAATAATTTAAATTATTGATAAAGGAGTAGTGTCTATATATATATATATACAGTATATATATAAAATGAGCATTAAAAAAGAAAGAACATTATTTCTATGCTATTTTTCCCTAAACAGTTTTGAGTGGTTTTCCTTTTTCCTTCTCCTTTATAACAAAATAAATACATTAAACAAATAAATACATATGCATACTTGAACATATGCTTATTTTCTAGACTTCTCCATATCCTCTTATTCTGTCTCTGGAGAACCACTGCTGTGTGGAGCAGCAGACTATCATGGCCCAGCAGCTGCATTCAATTCTGGGGGAGAAACTGCTCAACAAACCTCTCAATGACAAGGCGCTTCAGTGCCTACCATCACCAGAGGTAATACAGTCTGACTTTCCCTAATAAAGTTTTAATCAGACATACTCTAAAACCAATTTGGAAGAGCAGTCTGTCTTCCCTTTTGTTTGTTTTGAATTTTATTCAACATACAGTGCTTGATGTTCTTGGAATGGTTGTGGAACAGTTCCCTAGGTA